AATATTATTCGCATAGAATGTAATGTGACCACCGGTGCGTACAGCAACGACAAATGTGTGCACACCATACACGAGTTTTCGCTTAATGTACCACCAGGATATAAAATATCGGAAACGCCAGCACAGATCATTTATCTTCCGATCTTTGCACGGAGCGTATCGGATTTGACGATACGTGTTGTGGATCAAGACGGTCGATTGCTTGATTTCCGCGGAGAAGAGATAATCGTCAGGTTGCACGTGCGGCGGCAATAGGACACCTGAGATGCTCGTCTTGAACGAAGCGAGTCAGACTAAATACGTGAGCGACATTTTTCCCATCAAGAGGACAATTATAAACAAGAAAAATAAGAAACTTAGCGCAGCCAACATTGCATTTTTAAGATCTTTGGGATTCATCGTGCGAAAAAATACGTGAAGATGGTCGACATTTTGAACATTGGCGGTGAGCCGATCTTTGACGATCGCATCGTCAAGATCGAGACTCACACGTACAATCCATACGCCAATACATCTTTTGGACACAGTGACGAGATACGAATACCGATACAACAGCAGGATTTGTACACGTTGCCATGTGAGAGTTTTCTCTACATCGAGGGCAAGTTTGTGCAAACGAGGATAGAAGGCGATAACCATGCAGTTGAGATGTTGACAAATAATTGTGCGGCCTTTCTGTTCGATGAAATCCGGTACGAACTCAATGGTGTGGAGGTTGACCGCTGCAGAAACGTTGGAGTAACGAGCACGCTCAAAAACTATGTATCGCTGACTCGTGACAAAAATTTATTGTTGAAGAACGCTGGTTGGGATCTCTCGAGAAACATGTTTGCGGAATACTTTAATTATTGTGTCCCGCTCAATACATTGCTAGGCTTTTGCGAGGACTACAAACGGATCGTAATCAACGCTCGTCACGAATTGATCTTGATACGTTCACGCAACGACTACAATTGCGTGGTGGGACATGCAAACTCTGACCCAAAGATTGATTTGTACAAAATACAATGGCGAATGCCTCACGTTATGCTGAAAGATGTAAACAGACTGTCTATGCTACAAGTTCTGGAAAGCGGCCGATATTTGAGCATGAGTTTTCGCTCGTGGGATTTGTACGAATTTCCACTTCTACAGAGCACGACCAAGCATTCGTGGGCTGTCAAGACGGCGACTCAGCTGGAAAAGCCGCGTTACGTCATCTTTGCTCTGCAGACTGGTCGAAAGAATTCTCTCACTGGCAATGTTGCCATATTCGACCACTGTAAGCTGACTAACGTGAAACTCTATCTCAACTCGGAATTTTATCCGTACGACGATATGAATATGGATTTCGATAAACAGAGATACGCCGTTCTGTACGATATGTATGCACGTTTCCGCAAATCATATTACGGATGTGACAACGGCAATGTGTTGTTTGATCCCATACAATTTCTTACTCATTGTCCGTGTGTGGTCATTGATTGTTCGCGACAAAACGAATCCATCAAGAGCGCCACTGTCGATGTGAGAATTGAATTCGACTGCAAGGAGAATATACCGATGGATACCACAGCTTACTGCCTCATTCTGCACGACCGCATTGTGGAATACAGTCCTCTGACCAACATTGTGCGCAAAATAACATAAAAAATGAACATGCCTACATTTGTGGACCTGCAAGGATTTACGGTTGGAATGAGATTTCACGTAAAAGAGATAGCAATACTTGGAAATGGAACTGTTCTCTCCCATTATGTCTTTGCGAGTCCTATGCCGTGGCATCTTCTCACGAGAGCTGACAAGTCGAAAGCAGCATGGTTGACGGCTAATCATCATGGTCTGCATTGGAAGGATGGAATCGTCCCGTATAACAAAGCGAAACGTTTGATCACGGACGCTGTGATCAGCGAAACCAGCGAAGAATCCAAACTCGTCTACGTCAAGGGGTACGAGAAGCGAGAGTGGCTGACGAATCTCCTCGATGCTGATGTGAGAGAAAAGGTGATCGTTGAGACTCTGGATGCGGATTACGAGGATATGGCGTCATTGGACAAACTGGATGAAACCAACATTTTACGGTGTAATAATCATTCAAAACACTGCGCGTTACAAAATGTATTGAAAATATTTAATTGGTGGTTGGGTCAGCGCCAGAAAGAATTGTTTAATCTTTGATATGTAAAATAATTTTATTTATTTAATATAATAATAATATATAATGTAATATATATATATAATAATATAATGTAATATATATATATAATATAATATAATAATAATAATAAATATGTCAATATAAATTAATGATTTCAACGTCTATTTCTACTTCCTCCTCTTCACTGCTAAGATCGATTACTTCTATATGTTCTGAAATCAAATATAAAATTAATTTTATGCTTTTATATACAGAAAAAATTAAAAAAATTTATGTGAAATTATTTGTGCTTTCTTACCATTATCCTCCTCCGCATTTTCATCCTCCTCCCCCATCTCCTCCTCCTCTTCACTGCTAAGATCGATTACTTCTATATGTTCTGAAATCAAATTTAAAGATTAATTTTAATTGTTTTATATACAGAAGATTAAAAATTTTTTATGTGAAATTATTTGTACTTTCTTACCATTATCCTCCTCCGCATTTTCATCCTCCTCCCCCACCTCCTCCTCCATCTCCTCCTCCATCTCCTCTTCCCATTCTTCGATATCTAAAATTGGATTAATTATTATTTAAAAATTTGAAAACCTGGATTATTATACAATCTATTAAAAAACTTACGTGGAGGGCTTTGTTGTAAAAAAACCTCCTCCTCCTCTCCATATACGGGTCTACGAAATTTCGTATTGTACAACATTTTCATTTTATTTTTCTCCCTTGTTGATGTGGACTTGGACTGTTTGCTAGTGACTCCTGGGTGACTTTTATATGGTCCATCGCTATCTCTTTGTAACAAATATGTCTCGTTAGGAGAGGGTGGCAAATGTGCAAAATCAGCCTAACGTAATAGTAACATCATATGTGTCACATACAGTCAACCGCATCCTCACATTGATGTATCAGCACGTTACCGTTTCTTTGTCGCTCGTACCAATCCTCTAAGTTGGAGGTGGAAAAGAGTTCAGAAATTGGGAGTACAACCTGAGAACTTCAACATTTTCCTTCAGTCCGCGTTTGTTTATTCCCCGCAAACAGAGTTCTCTGTCACGCAAAAACTGCACCATCGATATCTTTCTTGATTTTGGCCATCTCCAATCTATCTCCATTTTAGCCGTTCAATTTGTTGCACGTGTCCCGTATCTGTTGCTGCTTGGATCTCGACTGAACTATGCGCTGATGTAATACTCATGATTTTATATGTTTCAAAACGTGCAAAATATGCATATCTCCATGATCTTCATGATGGTATCTTGTTTCACATTTTTCTGCGCATCTTGCTGTCAATCACAAATCGATACGGCAGCACTAAAATGCTACATTGTGATGCATAAGAGAGAGAGAGATCTTAAATTCATTAGTAATAAGAATATCATGTGTCGCATTCTTTTTCTTGCGCATCTAATTGTCGAATGCATAACACGCAAAATCTTGTCGCGGGGGCACAGTGTACGTGCTCATTAGTAATAAGAATATCATGTGCCACATTTTCTGCGCATCTAATTGTCGAATGCATACGTTTGCAGAATATTAGAGTTTGCAGCTGTGACTAAAAAATCACGCGGGCGGCACGGGCGGCGCGGGGCGGCGCGGGCGACGCGAGCGATGCGGGCGGCGCGGGCGCCGCGAAAACCGCCGAAAAAAACCGCCGCAAAATCCGCCGCAAAAAACCGCCGCAAAATCCGCCGCGGAAACCGCCGCGAAAACCGCCGCAGATCGGTAAAATGATCTATCGAAAGCAGATAGAAAAAATTATATCGGTAATTACCGATCATCAATATTATGTAAAGATGACAGTAAAAATTATGTAAAGAATATATATGTTGGTAAAAAATTAAAATGTTGGTATATAATATCGGTAATAAATTAACGATTGTTGGTATTATCGGTAATTATATGTTGGTAAAAATTATATGTTGGTAAAAAATTAAATGTTATATAAGATCGGTAAAAATTACCGACCACCGGTAACATGCCCCCCTCCCCCTCCCCCTCCCCCATTACCGACCGATGATACCCCCCCTCCCCCGCGGTGACGTCCCCCGGTGACGTCATACCCCCGTCGCCCGCGGTACCCCCCGCCCCTCACCCCCCCTCGGAGGACCATGGGTTAGAACCCCTATATAATACCTACTATTTATGTAAAAATTTTTTTAAACCAATTAATTTGTCTTATTATTCTGTGCAAAAAATCATTAAAGCAAGATAATCCAAAGATTAATATTTTACGAGATATTTTGTATTCTATGTCAAAGTGCTGGAAATTTCAAGTGTTATTACTCGAAAAGTTCTTAACGAAAAAATATTTTATTATAGCGTTTTGGAAAGCTCTCGAGATAAGCTATAAGAATATGTAATAATATATGGAGTATTCCATTTAAAAAATGGAAGATGACCTTCATATAACCTTCAAGTGACTATTTAAGGTCAAACTTTTTTATAGATCCCTTCGAACTAAACAACTTTTATCTGAAACAGTTTTCTTTAAAATGGTTTGT